ATATAACATTTTAGACACATTCTAGACAGTTTATCAGCTAAAAAAAGTTAATTTGGGGGTAAGTTACTCTTTAAATTGGCTCAATTGAAGTGAAACAGGAAGTGACATCAAATGGAAACTCTTTTAAGAAAGAGAACTCTTTGATTTGAACTCCGACCTTTCTTTTTTTTCTGATAGAGACTAAAAATAACCTAAAAAAATCAAATTCTTCTCTACAGTCTGTGTCAGACATTGTAGCAATGCTCTGTTTACATTCAGACATTCCCCTTTGACATCACTTCCTGTTACTTTTCATGCAAATATCTCAACCACTTTTCATCTCAGCTGCGTGAAATTTTTTTGCAGCATTTCCAATGTTATCACAAAAAAATTATTCATGTATGATACAAACATTTGGATGTCACAGGCACTTTAAAGCCAGTATTCTCAAAATGATTTATCCTGTTCCTGTAGGTCCTCACCTGTTACAACTTCTCAGTTTTTTTGTTGATTTTTACTGTTTTGCTTTTCAGACAGTGAATTTCTCACCAGGATATAAATTTTAAAAACCTCTTAAGATTTAAAACCACATTTGGGCAACATCTTTAGTTTTGTCCCATTTTAATTTCGTTAATAGGATTTTAGAGCCACAAATTTTTATTGAATCATAAGTGTTTTCCCTGTGTCCATCATGCATGACATCATATCATCTGTAAAACACAAACAAGCAGTATTTTCKGTTTCCAACAGATGCTGAATCAGTCAACAGGAGCTGCAGTGTTCATGTCACACTCTATGCAGCTCCCTGTTGGGCTAAAATAGACTTGAGTTTTATTATTTACACAACACTGTAATCACTTTTTGATGGCGCTCTTGATGAAGTTTACACGGCTTTCTCATGGCATCGAAACAAACGAGCTCTGCTGCAAACACGAGCTCATATTTATGATGTTGACTTTACCTATTTACCCAAAGGTTACTGTATCCATCACCGGAGAAAACCAGCTATTTCTCGGCTGCATATTTATCCCCAAACGGATGCACTCGACCTGCTGAAGCTGAGTTGTAATGTATGAGTTTGTACAGAATGGAGGGTTGATGAATTGTTGTTGTGTTCAGCCACTGACTTCACCCTGAAGCCTTCTGACTGCCCGGACACAGACTTCCCTGTCCGCATAGCCGCCAGCGACAAGGGCTGTCTGTGGTACAAGAAGGACAACAAATTCAAAATCCCCAAAGGTGTGTGTGTGTTTTCTGCAACAAGAAAAAGATAATTAGTCCTAACAGAGAAGCACTGAAACCTGTTTGCTCTTTTTTTGTTTTTAATTTTTTTGCTGTTGCAGCCTACGTCAGATTCCACCTAATCTCTCCAGTAATCCAACAATCTGCTAAGAAGTAAGTTCAGGCTTTAAATGTGAGCTGATAAAATATCCAGTTTTGTTTTCTGCTTTCATCTGTTGGATCGTCTCCACCTCTTTGACATCTGATTTATTCTGTAATGCATAAGCGCTGAAACAACTCCTGCTTTTGTCCCATATCCTGAAATAAAACATGTAAATTATACAACTAGGGTGGGCAATTTTTTCAAAAAGAAAATTATCACGATTAATTGTGGCATTTAGCCATTATTGAGTAATATGATGATGACAATTGCACTTGCATGTTTTTCACTCTAAATCAGTCACTGTGTTCTAAAATTATGCTTAAAAATCAGTCAAACCAACGTCCTCATTTTAATATGTTAAAATGGTAAACATTAAAAACCATCTTTTCCACAGTGTGGAATGGCAGCATATCTTTAGTAAAGAATTACACCACAGCTCACTCATGTGATCTCCTGATCTTACTTTGCTGCTCGTAAGGGACAGATTGAGTGCATTGTGGATTCTCAGCTGAGTAGGTTTCTTTTTTGCTGGAAGAGAGTTTGTTGTAGTTTTCTTGCTTTTTTCGTACTCGGGCTTATGGCGGTGTTTCAGGTGATTAAACCAGTTCATAGTGTTACTGTTATCTGCTCTGCATCGCCTTCTGCCATTGTTGTTTCGTTATGGGCTCACATGCACGCTAAAGAGTGCGTCGCACACAAACATAAATCATCATCCCGTGGCACTAATCGCAAAGCGCCAAATATTAAGACAGATATTTAATATTAAGACCGTTTTTCTGATGATTTATTGCACACGATACAATTTTGCCCAACTTTAAGTACAACAGAAACTGGAGCTCAGTCAGGAATAGAGTGCGGTGACTTTATGGTGAAAACATTGCACGTCTTAGACAAAGTTTGCAAGAACTTAAAACAAGTTTTTTTTCCCAGAGTTTTCCAAAAATGTTCAAATCTTTTTCACACAATCTCCTATTACTCCCACAATTCATTTTAGTAGATTTCTTTCACAGCTGTTTAAATCTCCAACTTTGCTCAAAATCATTTAAAACTGGAAGTCCTAGTTATCTTTTTAACTTGCCACGTCTCCCGCATAAAATACAAAAGACACATAAAAATTATGCTACTATCAGTTTTCTGCCGCTAACCGTTCAAGTATTTTTAGGATCTGGCTTATCACACATTGGTGGTTTATGTTTCACTTAGTGTTTCACTTGGTGAAACCACCAGTTAGTGGGCATGGTTATCGCTAATCATCTAGTTGCTAATAACGGATTAGCTTTTTCACTGACTTTGAAAACTGTTAGCAAACCAATTAGCTTCTGCTCATTAGGTTTTCCCAACTTTAAGTTTACCAACAGCTAACTATCAAACGAACATCAACAGGTTTGTGTCAATGACGCCAGTCTTCAGCCGAAAGTAGACAAAGACGTGACGCAGACAGTTGTCCTAGCGGTTAGCAATTAGCTGTTAGTGTTAGCTTTTGCTGATTTTTACTTGTTCAGCTGTTCAGTATTTGCTTCCGCTATTTTTTTTCTGCATATTTAGTGTTAGCAAAGCTATATTTTTAGTTAGGGGATTATGAGCTAGCAAAGCTAGTTAGTTATCTGTGGCCACCAGTGGTGACCACAATGAGCCTCTGACAAGAGCTTTAACAATTATTTTGATCTTTATATCTTTATACTTAGTTCAGAATAAAGGCATTTTTTCTAGTTTAGCCTAAAATAAAGCTAATGTTGAATCTTGTACAGCAGCTACACTGCAAAAACTGTCCATTTTACCAAGTTTTAAAATCTTACATCCAGCCAAAAAGTCTTTTTTTGATCTTGTTTTGATACTGATTTACGAAACAAGAACTGATTGTGTAAGAATAATAATCTTGTTTTCAGAATGTGTAAGATTATTTGTTTTGTTAGTCTGAAAATTTGACTCAAATAAAGTCAAAACTTTCTTCCAATGGAGTAAGAATTTTTTACTTAGTAAGATTCTTGAAATAAGAAAAAACTGAGTCAAATCAAGTATTTCAAGAATCTTACCAAGTAAAATTTTCTTACTCCATAAGCAGATATTTTGACTTAATTTGAGTCAAATTTTCAGACTAACAAAACAAATAATCTTACACATTCTGAAAACAAGATTATTATTCTTACACAATCAGTTCTTGTTTAGTAAATCAGTCTCAAAACAAGATCAAAAAGACTTTTTGGCTGGATATGAGATTTTAAAACTTGGTTAGGTGGACAGTTTTTGCAGTGTACATTTAAAATTTATTTTCTAGTTTTCTATAATCTTTAGATTTTTTTTACCCTTTTATTTAATTTGCTGCTTCTCCTTATTTTGACCCGACCCTTTTTCTCTCTCTTCCTGCTCTTCTACGTCCTCTGCTTTAATGATGTTTCGTTTTTCCAATGTTCACCCTTTTTTTTTTTTGGCCTTCAGTGTCGTCTTGTTTGACCTGCTGGTAAACATCCTGGGTCACAACCTGGCGGAGCCGGCCTACGAGGCTGAGGTGGCTCAGCTGGAGTACAAACTGGTGGCGGGCGAGCACGGCCTGGTCATCAGGGTCAAAGGATTCAACCACAAGCTGCCCGTGAGTCAACTCCTTTCACCTGCATCCTGCATGAAACCACATGCCGATCGATGCAGACCCTTCAGTCTCACTCGTTGACCCCGGCTTCCCTTCGCAGCTGCTGTTCCACCTGATAATTGACCACTTGGCTGGTTTTTCTGCCTCTGATGAAGTCTTCAGCATGTTCACCGAGCAGCTGAAGAAAACCTACTTCAACATCCTCATTAAACCGGAGAAGCTCGGCAAGTACGTTGTGTCCGTCCGTCCCCCCACCCCCACCCCGACTTCTCCTCTTGGACTGTGAATCATTACCGAGTCTGTGTTGCCTTCTAATGGCGGAACATGTGATAGACGTAAACAGAAARGCCTCCCACTCCTGCCGTCCCTTTCATCTCCTCTAGCACTTAAAGTCTTCCTCTGTCCCCCCGTTTGTCTCAGGGACGTGCGCCTGCTGATCTTGGAGCACTCTCGCTGGTCCATGGTGGAGAAGTACCAGGCTCTGACAGCCGGTCTGACCTGTGAGGAGCTGATGGAGTTCAGCCGGAGCTTCAGGGCCGAGCTGTTGGCGGAGGGCCTGGTGCAGGGGAACTTCAGCAGCGCTGTGAGTGAGGCAGCTCTCAGGTCACACACAAGCAGGCTGATTGATAATGTTGACTGATTAGAATGACACTTCCGTGTGTTTGACATTACCCTCTCATTTTGCTGATTCCCTCTCTTCACTTTTCTTATTCATTATCCTGTATTGTATTTTATCAACAGGAATCAGAGCAGTTCCTGCAATATGTCACCGAGTAAGTCCGCTGTTAATCTGAAACTGGAAACACAAACACCGTTTGCTCAAATTGATCCACAGCCACAAGATAATTAACATCGTTTGGATTCGTTATTGCTTTTCCGCTCTTTTTTTTTTTCACTCTGTTTTATTTCCTCTACGTGTTTTTCTCGTCTGCTGTGGCAGTAAGCTGCAGTTCTCCAAGCTGCCAGCGGAGGTGCCGGTGATGTTCAGAGTGGTGGAGCTCCCTCAGAAACACCACATCTGTAAAGTGAAATCGCTCAATAAAGGAGACGCCAACTCTGAGGTCACAGTTTACTATCAGGTAAACCAGAAATACAGTTTGTTTCTCTAAAACCAGAATTTATCCTCTCCTGTTTTATCACCTGCCTCTGAAAACAAACGGGCGATCATGTTCTCACCCATGTTTGTTTGCAAAATCAGTTCATGTTTCCCAATAAGATAATTTCAGTTTAAAACTCCTGAAGAGTGGCAAGTTTAGTGTTTCCTCAGCCAGGCCTTAAATATGATGAGGGAAGGGGTTTCTTTTGTTTTTATTCATTCTTTTATTTACTTTCATTTATTGTTCTGCTTTTCTTCTAGTCAGGTCCAAAGACACTGCGGGAGCACACACTGATGGAGCTGCTGGTGGTGAGCGTTCACAGATATTGCTTTTTACTCTCCTATAAGTTGTTGTTTTATCTCGTCGGCTCAGCTGCTTGTGCCTCTGTGTCTGACTGAGCCGCTGTTTTTGTTTTGTTTTTGTTTTTCAGATGCACATGGAGGAACCCTGCTTTGATTTCCTCAGAACCAAAGAGACTCTGGGGTGAGTTCTTGTAGTCTCCATTAACACCTTCCACTTTTATTTTGAAACCTGCCATGTCTGAGAAAATGTCATTTCTGCTGGAGTTTTTTTGTAATTAATGTAATGTAAATATATATTTTAAACTTTTATAGCCTGTTATTTGTATTAGCATTTCAGTTTAATGTGTTTGTGGTTGAAGCAGATTATGAACCCATTAGAGTGAGCTTAAAGCTTTTTAACTGACTCAGCACCTGTTTTTTTTTTATTTGATTTGATTTGATTTATTTATTTAACAGGAAAAGATTATTAAAAATCAAGCCTGACTCAGCATAATTGCTGTTTTACATCAGGTTCCTGTTCTGCAGCACATAAAACACTCAGAATTACAGCATCACAATCACATCATTATACACCATAGACACAAAGACAAACAAGCATACCAAATTTCAGGAAGGCAGCATTTGCAAAATAAGACATCTAAATATGAGCACAACAAAAAGTGTCCAGCAGATGGCAGACAAGATTCTTCTTAAAGAGCTGTAGTTTTGAAATGGACTTTATGTTTTGAGGAATGTCATTCCATGCTTTAGTATAAACATAGAAGAAAGACCTCTGGCCGTAACAGTTTTTAAAAGTTGGTAATATAAGTTGTCCTTTTGTAACAGATCTAGTTAAATGACCACTTCCAGAATTTGATTTGGGCAGCAATGCACAGAGAGTTCCATAATTGGCACCTTGGAAGATCTGAAAATATAAATGACCAGTTTACTTTTCTATTTACTCCCTAAGTATCATTTTTTGTTTTTGTTTTTTTTACCTCACAACCTGGAATTTAAATGTACTTTGAATGTTTTGGCCGTCCTGGACCACACTGTCTCCCCCTGCTGGGAACGTCACCACCACAGTGAAGCACGGTGGTGGCAGCATTGTGCTACGGGGAGGTTTTCTGAAGGAGACTTGTTCACAGGGTTCCCACTGATCCTTAAAAAGTTTTAAAAGGCACTGAATTCATCAATCCAAAATTAAGGCCTTATTGAACCCTTAGGATGATTGTAATTCATCTCAAATATTAAAATAATTGGTAACATTTATTTATTTTTTTAATAATTTACTGAATGCCTCTGACAGCTTGTTGTTTTGTGTCAAAATAAATATTTGGGTGAAATTGTTGCAGGTTTTTTTTTTAATTTGTTTTTGTTGTGAATTTGGTCTTAAATCTAATTTCAGATGGCATTTAATAAAAGTCTTAAATTTAACTTAAGCTGTAGGAACCCTGCTTCAGATAAAGCAACATATAAGACCTAGAGTTGTGCAATTTGCCAAAAAAAAAAGTCATAATTAATTGTGGCCGATAACGAGTAATGGTTGCACTTGCATGTTTTTATTCTGAATCAGTTTTCGGTGTTCTAAAATTATACTTAGAAATCAGTCAAAGTAACTTCTTCYTTTTAACAGCCAGGCCCTGCATTCGCTGAGAATCCACGATGCTCRCAGTCAATCTGTTGCTCACGAGCAGCAAAGAGCTGCAGGAGACGAGCAGATTTGTTTCCATCGTTCGCCGGTTTGTTGTGGCCTCTGCCCACATTTCCTGACTTTCCTCTCGCTCCAGTTTACGGTGGAGTTTCAGGTGATGAAAGGAGCTGTAGTGTTCGCTCTGCTCTGTCACCACGCAGCACTGGTAGCAGTCATCTSAAAGTGCTAAATATTAATTAGTGACAGTTTTTCTGATCATTAATTGCACACGATACAGTTTTGCCCAAACCCTACTTTATAATCTCTGGTATAACTCAAAGATAGAGACCATTACCACCATTAAAACAAGCAAGAAACTCTGAACTTAGCTTGCAGTGTTGTATAAAGTACCTCAAAGTGATACTTGAGTATAAGTACAAGTATCTTATCATAAAAATACTTTGTTAAAGTCTTGTATAAGAATATTACNAAATCTACTTAAGTATTAAAAGTAAAAGTACTGAGTAAAAGTGAGCAGTTAGATTTTCCAAAATGACATTTATTGGGAGGTGACTTCTCCAAAAAACATTTTTTCTAACAGCATGTCGCTTTGATGGACTGTGTACAAAGTAATACGGTGTCAGAATGGTATATATTTATACTTCTCATCCAACCACAGTTAAATTCACTCTATCCAGGAGACACAGTTTATCAGGATAGTACTTGTTTAAGTAATAACAACTCAGAATAAAACGGCAGTAACAACTTTCTACTTCTTACCATTAAAAAATGTAAGGAGTAGAAAGTACAGATAATTGTGTAAAAATGTAATGAGTAAAAGTAAAAAGTACCCTGAAATATAATTACTCAAGTGAAGTACAGATAACCAAAATTTCTACTTAAGTACAGAAACAAAGTATTTGTACTCAGTTACTTTACAAGTCTGTTAGCTTGTAAAGTTAAAAACACAGAAAGTCAGAGGATGAACAGCTGTAGCTCACTGTACAGTAACACAGTTTCTGCCTGCTGTACTTTTAGGAAGAAAATAATCCTGTTTTTATTATTCATGTACAAAGTGTTGAATCTTTAAAGCTGCACAGAACTATTGAACCTTCTTATTGTGTTTTTGTTACTTTTTAAACGGAATTTTACAGAAACCGCAAAGCAATTTTACCTCATTCCCTGTTTTGTCTCTAATCCTAGCTGCTGTTTTGTGTGTGTGTGTATGTGTGTGTCCTGCTGCAGTTACCATGTCTACCCCACCTGCAGAAACACCTCTGGTGTTCTGGGTTTCTCTGTCACCGTGGAAACGCAGGCCACCAAATTCAAGTGAGTCTGCAACACAATTTGAACCTTTAAAGAAACGATCCATCTTCACCACTTTCCCTGAAAACCCCAGGTATGATGTATCTGGTTGCTCAGCCGCTCCCCGGCTACAATTTATCTGTGCGGCCCCCGGAAACAGGAGCAGAGGAGCTGATAAATGACTTAACAGCCCATAATATCTCTTCACTCTCATCTCTCCCAGCACCGAGCGGGTGGAGTTAAAGATCGAGGAGTTCCTGGGTTCATTTGGGGAGAAGCTCGGCGCTTTAACCGAGGAAGCCTTTAACACTCAGGTGTGTGTGTGTGTGTGTTCATGTTTGTGTGTGTGTCGGGTCGTGGCTTTCATTAGGAAGTTGCAGCAAACTTCCTGAGCTTCTCCTGACGGCGTAAAACTCACATCAACATGTGCCTGACTTTTCTAAATGAGCTCAGTAGAGAGGCGGRGTGTTAACGCAGAGTGTTCGCTCCAGGTGACGGCCCTAGTGAAGCTGAAGGAGTGCGAGGACACACACCTGGGGGAGGAGGTGGACAGGAACTGGTCCGAGGTGGCGACGCAGCAGTACGTGTTTGACAGGCTCAACAGAGAGGTGAGAAGAAAACATTCACACATCAGAAACACCTGAACTGTTCCTCTTTTCTTTTCTTTCCTCTCCTGTTGTTCCTTTGATTAGTTCAGCTTGCTCAGTTTTTACACGTCGCTCTGTTTCTGTCATTTAAGCCTCACCTGTGCTGTAAAACATTTAGAAATACAAAAATACCAGCTTCTAACTGGGTTCTTGTTCATGTTTGGTTAAAATCAAACCATTTGTTTTTGCACAAATTGACAAAAAAAATAAGAGCTTCAAACACAAACATTAAAGCCGTTATAATTAGTATCATTTAAAAGAAAATGGGGGAAAAAGGCAGAGAATTTATATGAAAGGTGAAAGCTCAGATTTCATGGTGAAGCAGTTTGAACTCAGCTCTGCTTCTGTCACGGTTCCTAAAACTTTACTGCCATCTAGTGAACTTATCAAGTTTTTGCTCATTTAATAATAAATATAGATTGTAATCAAGGGTGTGTGCTGATTTTCTGAGCTGCGCTTTTTGTCTTCTGCTAACAACAGTCTGAGACATTCAAAATTAAGGTGAAATGATACAAAACTTATTAGGGAGTTAATGTAAAAACTAGTTTCTAGATTTTTTTTTAATAAATAGTCAATGTAGCTGATGGTTCCTGCATCTTACTTGATGTACTCAACAAAATAAGAGCATAGTAAACAAATACATCTAAATATATCCCTAAACCTTTTGTCTCTTTGGTTAAACAATAAAAGTTTAATATATTTTTTATTTTATTTTATTTTATTTTTAAGAACCAGAGTTTAATCCTTCCTCTTATTTTCCATAACACATCAGGATTACAAATGTTCTGTGTAAATAACAGATAATCCAGAGTAAAAACCTTTAAGTACACGTTTCTGTCAAACACATGAAATCAATCAATATGTTGCAACACTGTGAAGACGGTAACTTCATAAGTTTTTTTTTATTGAAAGCCCAGTTTTGATCATTTTAGTTTCTGAGTTGCTTCTTTTGTTTCCTGTCTGTCTTCAGATTGCGGCTCTGAAGCAGATGACCAGAGTCGAGCTCATCTCCTGGTTCCAGGAGCACTGCGGTCAAAACGGCCGAAAACTCAGCGTTCACGTAAGCCTCGCCGTCCCGTTCGACAGAGGAAGTAGGAAATGTRGCTTTAATCCAGGTTTATAAACCCCGCCCGTGTCTCCTGAAGGTGGTGGGATTCGGTGCAGAGGAGGACGACGACCAGGGAGGAGATAAATACCAGGGAGGAGARAAAGGGGAGGAGCTGTGCGGCTCTACGTACGGCGAGGTTTCTAAGCTCACCTTCCTTCCTGTCTCAACCAAGATGGCGGGCGCCGTCGCCATCCAGGACATCCCTGCTTTCACTGAAGGCTTGCCCCTCTTCCCCTACCACAAGATCCTGAACTGACCGTTCAGACCGGACTCCTGGACTCAGCAGAGCCCGGCTGCTCTGTGGTCCTGATGTCAGCAGGTTTTAGCCTCACTGCTACTGACGAGTGAGTTTTATCCCAAATAACTGAGGATCTGCTCCGCTCTCTGAGAGAATCAAAAGGAACAGTTTCTGTCCCGTAACGAGGGAAACGCTGACTCAAACATGTTGAACTGAGTGCTGCTGTGCAAAAATAATAAATCATTCTGGACCGAGTCAGTGGTACAGTATTAAATAAAATCACAGGAAAACAACTCAAACCAAACACTGACATTATTTCCGTTCACAGTGGTAATAAAACATTTGAAAAAACACAGATTTTATTTGGTATATATAGTGTATTTATTTCATTTTGATAACACCATTAAACTTTTTCAAATTAGACTTTTTTGATTTGCGCAAATGTAAAAAAAAAACTATTAAAACATTCATCAGTTTGGACAAATCAGGAGCAAGAGAACAATTTTAAAAAATTAACCATGAAATGTGTTAAAATACTTTTTGTTTCTTTTTCAATAAACTGGTAATTTTATACCTTTTATAAAATATTTATTTTAAAAGTTAAGGTTTTAAAAAGNAGTTTAACAAGAACATTAAATCCTTGTGTGTTTTAACACTGGAAACTAATTATGTGGTTAAAAATCAGTCMAGCCAATGACTAAAATATTTTTTCTAATCAAAATTAATCTTCCTTAATTTGATCATTGAACAACATCCATTTTTAAAGCAAGTTGTAATTATAACAAATTAAAAATGTTTTTTCTAGCTTGTTTACTGCCTAAAGATCCAGTCACATTTCCAAAAGGAGTCTAATATTCTAATACTACGTAATAAAGACTTCATTTTTTCTAGGGATGCACGATATATCGGCATTAATATCGGTATCGGTTCGATATGTAAAACTGAGCCGATATTAACATCCGGTATTGATTTTCTATTTTTTAGCTTTGTTTTGCTGTTTTGGGAAGTAATATGGTTGGTTGAGCAGCATCTGTTTGATTAGGATCGTGATATTAACGCTGCGCTGCCAGGACTAACTCAAGTAAGGAGCCATGTCAGAGGTCTGGTTGTTTATTTACGGTATCAAAAAAGACCCTAGTGTGTTTTTGCGTATATGTCTAATATAATTTTTGTGTTTGTGTAATATCGGTAAATATCGGTTATTGGCCATAATGGCAGTAATTATATCGGATATCGATATCGGCTGAAATTCTCTTATTGGTGCATCCCTAACTTTTTCACAAGCTCTTGGGAGTTTGGGTTGATGTGTGGCAACACTGCACAGCAAGAAGGTCGCAGGTTTGCAAACATACTTCAACAGGGGTCTTTCCTTGAGGACTGAACATGTTTTCTCTGTGTACTCTGGTTTCCCCCCCACAGACCTTAAACATGTCAACTCATGTTGGTTTATTGGTCACTCTAAATTGCCTGTAGGTGTGAATGTTTGTCTCTATGTGTCTTGGTGATGGACTATGACTTGTCCAGTGTGTCCCTGTCCCTCCAGAGTGACTGCTGGACATGGGCACTAGGGACCCCCCTTGACCCTTAAAGGAGTATAGAGATGAATGGTTAAATATGTTGACAAAAATCACTTTAAAGACTTTTTGTTTGGTTTGGTGTAAGCTGTAGTTGTGAGTCCATTACAAAGTGAGTCTAAAGTCTCAGGACACCCTTTTATTTCACAAAGAAAGGAGAAACTGAAATATCTGAAAACTCCAGTAAGTAATGGGTGAAGAGGGTCTGTCTATATATCTTTAGTCTTTGTTCAGAACATATTCACAATCACCATACTGGATCAAAGTCAACTATTTTCCAATGGGAAGATGGTTGTTTAGCATATCAAAGACCAGAATTGTTTCACAAACAYATTTTGCTGCAATCAGATGTGCAAAATATCTTGTACTTCAGAAGATATCAACAGGGAAAGTAGCAACAGCTGAACAAGATCTATACAGTAACTAAGTACATTTACTTTTTTACAGTACTTGAGTCAATTTTAGAAGGGTTTGTAATTTTACAGAGTATGTTTTTTATTTTATTCATAAGAATGATACTTTGACTTCTTTACTTTCAAATTCAACAGCTAGTTACAGAATGAACTATGAATGAAGTCATCATGAAAGAGTTGTTTGTGCACACTAAAATATTGTTAAATTTATTTATCCAAGTTAGGTCAACTGGTTCCACTAAACTGAGCTGAGAAAATGGTTTCTTTAAAATAAAATGTGTAAATTGCTCAGTTGAGTGGAACCAGTTTGGTTAAGTAAATTCTACACCTTTTTTTTTTTTTTTTGGAGTGTGTGTAAAAGTACTTTTTACTTTCAATTATTGTGAGCAGTTTTATGACTTTTACTTAAGTACTTTTCTTATCAGTGAAATTTATTTTTACCATAGTCATTTTCTGTTCAGGTATTTTACTTCTTTCTTTTAAGTACTTTATATTCCTCTGCAAATAACAGGCAATGTTCTCAGTTGTTGTTGCAACTTTGTGTGTTGATGACTTCTAAACCACAGGGTATACAGTATATCTGCTATCCATTTATCCATTTCTGAGACCTATCTTGTCCTCTCTAATTATAACCACCCTCCAGTTGGAAGAATTTGGCTTTGATCCAAAATGGCAGCTTTCATTTTTCATTTCTCAAATAAAAAGCTGTCCTCAGAGTAGACTATAGAATGAAAATCCAGCACAATAAAAACTTGTTGAATTAAGCTTCGAGTCAAACATTTAAACTTTATAACTTCAAAACAATAACAATCTGGATAAAACTAAAAAGTTTGTGTAATGTCAAAGTTCAAACAGGACATTTGACTGGTGATCCTCACAGATATAATGTTCGGCTCTTTACCTCCTGTCCTTTTATTTAATTATTTCAAACCAGGTTTTATTCTCAGAGCTTTTGCTTCATTGAATGTAATTAAAACCTGATCTGGAGCACGTTAACAGAGCTGACTCATAAGCCCACGAGGACTTCTCCCTTGGTAATAACCATCCAAAACATGCAGGGAAATAGAGCCCAGTGAAAATGAAGGCAGGTGTACCTCTGGGGGGTTACTTAATGTCGTTCTCTCTGCAGATGCAGTGTGAGAATCATCAGACAGGTTCTGAGCGTGTGGTTGGATCGTGCAGCACAGAGCATCTCTCGGTGATGACAAACAGATCTAATTAGCTTTCAGCTCATTGTGATCTGAGCTCTGCCTCCCTGATGGATCAGCCTCCCAGGAGAGTACAGGATATGAAGTACGGGTTACTTGTCCTACATTTTACCACAACTGAGTTACTGCAGCTTTGATGAGGTGGGAGGAAAAAGGAAAAAAAAGATAAATTATTATAAACTAACACCAAAGAGCTGCTTTTTTTACCTTCAGAGAAGCTTCAGTTCTCTCCTGAACTCTGTGTGCCACAAAATCAAAAGCGTGATTGAATTTAAATGACTTTAAAATCTTTTCACTCTCCAGTTATACACCTGCCAGATTTCCAATAAAAGATTCTAGATCTCTTAATCAGGTGAGGTTATTGAAGGCACCTAGCTAGATGTTTAGAAAATCACTGACAGCCGTTTGGTCTTTAAAACTGCAGGAAACCTTCTCTTCAACTTGTTCCTGTGTGAACAAGCAGCCGGTTTATCCTCTGCATCACAGTTTGAGCACTTTTCTTTCCTAGAGTTTTACGTGTCGACACATAATAAACCATATAGGTGTGTGTTAGCACAACTCCAGAGTGAAAAAACTCAATATTTTTCCATAAAACAGAGAGAAAGATTATTCATGAGCAGAAAATATTTAAGACAGCTGACAGTGTTAAAAGTGAGCATCAAGTTCTAGATCCCTGATTACATTCTTTCTAAAGTCTTCTGAAGTTTTTTGTTCCATCTACAGAAAGATTTCTGACAAACAGACCAACATGTTTCTTCTTCCATGGGAGAACATGAGGTGGGACCTCTGTTCTTCTCTGTTCTGGATATACTGTGTATCTGGATTCTGATCACTGGATTCTGCAGATTGGCTTGGTGGTCTCTTGGTGTTCTACAAAACAGTGTCGGTGGCTTTTCATTTCCTGGCTGACTGACCAATTTGATGGATGGTTGTATACTATCAGCACTTGGACACTGGCCCTGAGCAAGCTGGACTCGGTCTGCAAGCAGTTCTATTGAGGGTCATGGGCCGGCTGTGGTCCCTGGACTTTGCTGGCCAGATGGAATTGATCTTGGAGAAGCTGATGGATTCGGCTCGGTGGAATTGTCCTCATTTTATTTACCTGATAGGATTCGCCACCCTCAGATGCACCAGCAGAACTCTAAAGCATATGGAAAATTGTTGTCATCTGCCTGACTCTTTTGTTCCCAAAACAACTGATTACAGAATCTGGATCTCCCCGACAACGGCCTTGATCTGTTGACTAAATTCTTCCTTGCTGGATTATGTCGATAAGGCTATGCCCCGCACCTCCCCACTCCTCTCTCACCCGTTTGATCTGGTTCCTGAGCAGGCTGAGGGCCACACAGAATGAACAGTTTACCATCAATATTCTGAACTATGGCTGCGCTGGTTTTGGGACTGGATTCTTCGGGCCCCCTAAACTCACTTACTCCTCTGGCTAATGAATCTGCTGTATGCAGAGGACTTTTTCATAAACACCATAGTTTGTCACAGTGTTGATAAAATATAATGTTTTTGCTTTTTTCCTCATCTTCCCTCATGTGTTTTTTTTTTTGTTTGTTTTTCTGTTGTTCTGTTTTTAAGGTAGCGCAACTGTGTTTGCTGCATGACCTGTCTTAACTGCCCCCTCCCCCCTTCCCTGACTGTGAATTTATTTCTGTGAAAGGCGCTGTATAAATAAAACTTTACTTACTTACATGTTCCATCCAAGAACAAGGGAGAACTTGTCTTCTGCCTCAAATGTTCCTGCAAGAACAGACACCACTGAAGAATCTCAGATCCTGGACCCCAGAGATCTGAGAGGGACCAAAGAGTTGATGGACAGTTTGTGAGTCTGACAGTTCATGTTGGACCAGAACCAGGACCAAAACCTTGGGAACAATTAGATCCATCAGATGCAGAACCTAATATTCTAAATTCTATAGTGAGTAGTTACTTTTATTTGAGTAACTTTTATGGGGGAAAAAATACTTTTAGGAGTAGTTTTACTACACTGAACTTCTTACTTTGAGTAATATTAATATGAAGTATTGCTACTATTGAGTAAAATATAGGAATACTCTACCCACCATAAGTAACTTCACTGAATGAAGAACAAACATGTTTTAAAGTGAGACCTTGTGTGTGTGTGTGTGTGTGTGTGTGTGTGTGTGTGTGTGT